TCATATGCAATAATGTTAAAAAAATCATGAGTATGTGATCTTACTAAATGAACCTTGACATCCACAGGCAATCTTTAGGTAAGCTCTGATCACTGCTGCCATTTCACAGACTGTGACCCACAAAGAAAAGCATCACTCATAACATTTCCACCTGCAGGATCATCAGAAAGTATTATAGGGCTGAAAGTAATTGCATCTATTGCCTATGGTTGTTCCCTTTCTTCAGTATAAAATAAGAAAACTTATATACATTTCATAGTTTGGTACTAACAACCAGATGTATATTTGTTAATGTTCTGGTGACAATATTGACAAGAGAATAAAGAAAAGGATCAGTATTCTCATGGCAAACAAAATAGAAAGTGCTAGATTCAACCCATTGGTGCTGGGTACATGCTCTTTCCAATGCACTTTATGTAAATCTTATAGTCTTCTGTACACACAAAAAAAAGTTAATGCCATATTAAAGTTTAATCCAGACCTTTAGCACACATGCGCAATGGGAGCGTCCAGGATCAACTCTCAATACACCTCTGGGCCAGCATTAACCCAGTGCCGATGGGTAAAAATGTTTGGCTAGTGGACGTAAAAACAGAATTGTTGGCGCACATCGGTAGTTTCCCGTTTGCGACTGGCTTGATCGGTAGTTTGCGAATGACATTTAGCACCTGAAAGTTTTTATTTTGCTATAATTTATAAAAATATTAAAATTTTGATGGTTTACCTTCATTATAGGTGCCATTGCCTAAAATCTTTACCATAAAAATGAAGCCGTTAATATTGGAGAAAAACAAACTCCGACCGATGAGCCAGTGGAGCGGAAATGGGCATGTACGTCGGCTACGGGTTAACTTTAAGCTCAAAATTTAATCCTGCTCATGCACAGGACAAGCTAGTTAATCCCACCAATCATGTATTGATATGTAATGACAATGTCATCAACTCCATAGAAAAGACAGAGCTGAGTTGCTATTAACTTTTATTCATAGTAATAACAAAACATATTCTAACATATTCATGAACAAGATGTATGTGGAAATTCTCAATATGTACTCTATTAAGTTGTGGGATATTCAAACTGCACATACAACCCTCAACAGTGAAAAGAAAAATGAAATGAAAATCCCGCTGAGAATTCCAAAGTTTACTGACGGAAAAACATTATATTTTCATGAAATATAAAAGAAAGCTTTCATAGCTTCACCATTAAGTTTAAAACCCAAATATAAACTTTTTGATTCTTTAAATTATGCTGCGTTTGGAACTCCTCGTACGGCTCGTTGAGACAAGTTGGACAAGATGTTTTGACCATTCAAACCTACTTTCAAGTCCTGGACAAACTGTCCATCTGATCCATCTCGCCCTACTTCAAAGCTGGGCAAGCAGGACGAGATGACGTCACAAAAGCATTTGTATGTAAACAATGACAGCTGCAGGCAACCATAAGATATTGATGGATAATATCATGGCCCTTTATTGATATTATCAAGGGATATTTTTGTGTTTGTCTGTTGCAGGTAAGTTACACATGCATCAAAGGAGTCACAAAACCTATGCAGCATTTATATGCAGCTTTACAACAAAGACACCATTATGATAAAATGAATGAGTGTTTATTTTTGAGCCAGTTATCTACATGAGCAAGACAAGGAGCTCCAAATGCAGTATTAGAGTGAATTGTAAAACTATATGATTGTCATCAGGAACCTCACGGGTAACATCATGAAAAAGCTACCAGTCTGAAAAATCCCAAATAATGACTTCATGTTACAAAAATTTTATTATGTTTGCAGGGGTGCACAAATAGGTAGCCCACAGGCCTGATGCTACCAGAAAAAAACATGTGGGTTACCGATGATCAGAGGTGTGATAGCCCACAGGGCTACCACAGAATAACAAACGTCTTGTTATAAACATTACAGTATATAATCAAAATAATAATAGTTGACTGCCAATTATTATTATACAAATACCAGTTGTTTCATGTAAAATGGCAAATTTACTAATAATCATACTGATTCATACATCTGGCAGGTGTGCCTTGCATCTTTGGTGCAAGTACTGTGGATCTGAATTAACTTCATTGACATGTACAGAAGACACCTTTATTTATCTATAGATGACACTAGGTTGTTAATAAGTAGCTGACCTCACCAGTTTACCTAATATATTGATTTTTTTGGGGGAAAGCTTAATTTCTTACCTAATACTATTAATATACTCTTATTATTAACAATGTTATTGTTATCATAATCAGTGGGAACCCCTGTTGAAGGTGAATTTCCAGGTAAACTTTCAATGGGTCAATTAACAATGAAGTAGTAACATGGTCCAATATAAAGATAATGATTCACAAACAACACAATGCACAAGTCAGGGCATCACAACACAAACATTCCCTAAACTCTCCCATGAACTTCCTTCTCACTTGTCCTCCCTGTCTGACTGTCTTTATGTCTCTACCTTTCTCTCTTTGTCTCCCTCCTTGTGTTTGTCAAAGTGTGTGAGCTTTTAAATATCCATGGAAGCTTCAGGCTACATAGTAGCTACAGATAATTGTAAGATCATAACTCCTAAACAACTGACTTGCATTGACCTACAAAGATCACTCACCCATGAATACCAATCAATCATCTATCATCAATCTTAATGTTGTTTATGCAAAAAAGTCAGCTGCAGGCTACCAAGTATCTACAGATAATTGCAAGATCAGAACTGACCTCTACTGACCCACTAAGATCACTCACCCACAAATACCAATCAATCACCTATCATCAATCCTAAATGTTGGTCATGTATGTTTCAGTGAAGTCCAAGTGCAGGTGTCTTTACAGGACTCCTACAGTTTACAATACTAATATTACTACCAGTTGCCATTCCAACTTCAAGAAGTTAAACAGTGAATAAACTGACAACCTTAATCATATTATATTTTTAGCTATATACTAAATTCTGCAAATATTTTCTTTTAAGCATTTAATTTTATGTACAGTAACCTCCTACAGCAGGTGAAATACTGGTATGGCAAGATACTGCTAGTCAGGGAGCTTCAAGCTACCTATGAAATACAATGTAAAGGGAAATACCAAAGTTTCAGAAAACAAGTGCAATTACTTTTCTATACCACTGCAATGTTGGGTATCATAATGGTGTTAACCCAGTGCCGACGGGTAAAAATGTTTGGCAAGTGGACGTAATAACAGGACTGTTGGCGTGCATCGGCACTTTCCTCTGTTTGCACCTGACTTGTTCGGTAGTTTGCAAGCGGCATTTGGCACTTAAAAGCTTTTATTTTGCTACAATTCATAAAAATATTATAATTTTGAAGGTTTACCTTCATTATAGGTGCCATTGTCTAATATCTTTACCATATAAATGAAGCCACTACTATCGGAGAAAACAAACTCCGTCTGACGAGCCAGTGGCGCGGGAATGGGCATGATACGGTGCCATCCGTTTTTCGGTCCATAACAGTACATACATGACACCCGTTAGCTAGGGGTTAAGGACATAAGTGTCTATTCATAATCAAATGCACTCACATGCATTCAAAATAATGCATATTGATTGATTAGTCAAAATCACACCTGGTGCCGCAACATCATGGTCACAAGGCACTGATTATTAAATACAAATGTAAATCAAGGGTAATGATATAAATTAAAAAATCAAAAATAAAAACTAGTCAAAATAGCAGAATAATTCACATAATTATATCTTAGTGAGAAGACCAGGACTTCATGTCCAGATGTTAGGCATCTTTCTCCCAGGATCAGAGATGGATGGAAGGTACCATCCTGCCTCTGGCAGCTAGACAGATACCTTTCTCTCAGATCTTTATGACTGGGGCGCTTGACCAGCAAGTGTAGCACAGTCTTCACCATATGGTTCAACATCTCTGGGCATAAGATATCCATGGGTTAGTCAGTTATGACCTATACAAAGATGGGTCAGGGCTGTTTGGTCACGGCAACTCTTGATGTTAGCATAACTCCAAGGAGGGATTGCTGTTGGACTTATTTTTCCCAACTTTGTGTTGGCACCAAGAGCCTCCCATCTCTGTTGCCATTCAGCCCAAACTGCCAGGCGAATAATGGAAAATAGGTCTTTGAAGGGTAGTAGAGAGAGGGGAGCACCTCAAGCCCCTGCCACCTTAGCAAGTCTGTCTGCCTGTTCATTTCTGGCTATACCAACATGGGCTGGAACCCAACAAAGCCCTACTTGATGTCCCTGACTTTTGAGAAGATACAGATACTTTATTACTAATAAAATTAATGGATGATTTGTAGGAGAGATAAAAGACTCCTATGCTGATATGGCACTTCTGGAGTCAACCAAAATGGTAAATTTTGATGGTGGAAAGGTAAGAATTACCTACAGAGCAAGTATAATTGCTGATAACTCTGCAATAAAAACAGAGGCAGTGTTACAAAGGCTGCCACTATGATTGAACTGAGGGAAGACTACACCAAGGCCAACCCCTGCTTCAGACTTTGAACCATCAGTGTATACAGGGACTGAACCTGTATGACTTGAGGAATGTTCTACAAATATTGCGTGGGATTCTTGAATTTGAATGCTGCTCTTATTTTTTATGGTTGGGTTGCATATTGATACATGTGGGAATTGCCAGTAGCCTATCTTAGGGATCTGGTGAGGAGAGACTGGTAGAGCAGGGACTGACAAAGATAACATTACCGATACAACTGTGTATCCAAATAGTTTAGGAACACTAGGTCTTTTATTGTAGCGATTGGAAAATGAATCATGAGAAACCGTGGCACAAGATATTGAGTCTGGGAGGCATTGGATGTGGTACCAGCATCTCATCATTAAAGACTGGCTATGTAGGTTCAATGGGAGGACACCAGCATCTATTAGCATACTAGGGATTGGGGATGACCAGAATGCTCCAGTGGCCAGGCAAACACCGGTATGGTGAATAGGGTCTAAAATATGTATACCAGCTTCTGTAGTAGAACAGTAAATCTCATATCCAT